ATAAAAGATATCACAGAGTTTGACACATCTGTTTTATACTTGCTATGCTTGAAAAAGACGTTAATGGTAATCTCTAATAACCACTCTATATGATAAACATGATGACTTTTACTTTTTTTTCGTCAACTTCGCTTACTTATGCAGCAATATACCTTCATCACCTAAATACGGAGTGTATATACCCGGTATCTCAGTTGATTCGACACGCAAGAGCATACTCTACGTATGAACAATAAAGAATTTCATCAAAAAATTTGAGGAATCTGGACAGGTAGAAAATCGATGAGGAAGAGGGAGGAAGACAGTGTTTACAGACAGAGACAAAAAAGAACTTTTTCATGTAGTTAAAGAAAACAGACGAAGAACGCACGAAGATATCACAGGTATTATAAATGGGAAAAACAATCATAGATTTTGTACGTCTAGAACTACAAAAAAGAAAAATTCAAGAGCTCGGGTACAAATAAAGGGTTGCCATAAAAATGTGCTATTCGTAAGGCCAACAAAAAAGCTCGCTGTAAGTTGTGCAAGGAGAGGAGACATTGGACTGTTGATCGTGAGTGGAATAATTGGGTGTTAAGTGATTAACGCCAGATAGTAATTGGAAAAAATTAAGAAAGTTTATATCTGGAGAAAAGACGAGGAAATGTATAGTGCGCAGGTCTCGACGACAGCTGAGTATCATGATCCGGGGTTGTGGTTGACAAGGAGCAAACGGCGGGTGTGACCAGTCGGCAGGGGATGCTCACTCCTCCATGGCACCTGATCCCAACTCTGATGTTTCGGGGGTTCGTGTTTATTCTGCTCTTGTTTTGTATTGTTTTATGGAATGTGAGATTGAATACTATTCCTTATTTCCTTATCCTTCTTGTGTAAAAGGAATGGAAACTTTAACTAGTGTAGAAAGTAACATAAATGCAAGAAAATATATTAAAATTTTAGACAACAGCCTTTGGCCCGTTTTAGCCAGACATTTTCCAGATAAGGAGTATGTATTTTATGCCGTTCAGGGGTTTTCTCCCTTTAGACAACTTGTGTGTCTCCCAATTCTGTATATTGGACAAAAGAACTATGAGTCAGGATTAAAGTTTATAAAAATTTATTATTGTTTGTTATTTAATTGGCACAATCACTTTAAATAATTATCCCTACTTCTTACTCTAGTACAAATATTATTTCTCTCCCAGAAAGGGAATAAAATATTCTAAAATGGGAGATTTCTGTTTTAGGGAATTGTATATATAAATTTACAAAAACATTAAAGTATTTATCTTTTCCCAAAATATTGGGAGTACTTTGCTATACAATTATATTATAATCAGGTATAGTTATGGTAGAGTTATTTTACCTCCCACTTATTCTCTCCCACAGGCCAATTCAATATAGATAGCAAAAAGTAATAATAAAGTATAACACAAAATTCATCAGCTCCCAAAAATTAGTTATTAATTATGTTATAGTAATTACTCATCGATATCGCTCCCAGCCATGCTGGCGATGAGATGATCGAACCTATTCTGACCTATTCTAAACCCATTCTGACTGTCAGTCGATTTGCGCTGGCTTATATTGGCATCGGGCTCGATTGTCGTGACGTCACGACAAAGTGAAAATACCCGCTATGTTTGTTAGTTGATATGCTGCCATGCCGATCGAACCGACGAAAGGAAACACGCACCCTAGGGCGCGGATAATTACTGTGGGAAACATTCATACTACTTATCGCTGATGGATTTCGTAAGCATAAACAAAACAATCATAAACAGTACAAGCATGACTTGGGAATTAAAGACGTCGAAGAAATTCGGGCGTCACTAATTACCGACCTCTTCCCAATTTTACACTTGGTAAATATACAATTGTTAATGGAATTAAACATACAATTAACGGAACATGATTTGTCGTTTTATAGTCCAGTACATTGCAGAGGTTTTTGTATAACTTGTACTCTGTATTTCCACAGAAAATGTTGCTCATAGTAACGGGAATAATTACGGAACCATAACACGGCACACTCCCATGAAGAACATTCGTCCTCGAATGGTTTTATACTTCAGTTAGGGAATATTTAAAGGTAGGTACAAGTTTTCTATTTATCCCTTAATCGCTGGTCATAAAAACGACGTACATTAAAAGTGCATATTATGATTAACAATAATTGATAAGTATATGTACATCATTCATAGCATTCAACAATTAACAACGATATGATCAAACAAATAAGTTATCCATGTATGAAAACATATAACAACATCACAAAATCATATTTCACAGGTATCATGTCCATATCACTTTCTTCAATTCACAAAGAAACTTCTCGGCATTGTCTATTTCAGAATATTTTCACGATCTATCCACAGGAGGCTCTATCTGTCAGCTTTCATGATACTCAGCTGTCGTCGAGACCTGCGCACTATACATTTCCTCGTCTTTTCTCCAGATATAAACTTTCTTAATTTTTTCCAATTACTATCTGGCGTTAATCACTTAACACCCAATTATTCTACTCACGATCAACGGTCCAATGTCTCCTCTTCTTGCACAACTTACAGCGAGCTTTTTTGTTGGAATAAATTCTCTTAGCTAAACCTATTAAATTTTCTTACAAGAGTCTAGTTGTTGATAAAAGTGAACATGTTATCAAAATTGCTATGTGGAGCGCAACAACTCAGCGCGGGCAGATTAATAGGGGCGAAACGACTCGAACTCCTACGAGCACATGGTGAAGGAAAGGCGGGAAGATCATGATTATCATCATCATCAAGATGTCAACAGTAAGTATGGTTGAGTAAAATTTAAGGTTTCTTTCCAAATAAGAAAGCGATACAGTGTCTCTTTTTAAGATAGAGTATACTGAATAGAAATAAGAATATCTCTCATAAGAACAATACTGGGATCTTTTCATCAAGGTAGTCCTAGATTTTTTCATGGTGGCTCACAGTGCAGGTGCAGCTCGAGGGAGCTTCCAAATCAAAATATTTTTTTCAAAACTGCAGCAAAAGATTATTGTAAGAAAAAGTGTCACAGGGCATCCTTGGCCCAAGGGTTACCATTTATACTAATACTAGGGTTTGGACCCTTACACAAGGGGAGATAATAAGGAAAATAAAACCAAAAGAACTTTATATTGGCCTAGAATTGTTAAACTTTGTCTGTTGAGGCATCTTGGGTTTTTGGAGAATGTCGACCAAAAAGTAGGTCAACATGACCTACCTATGATATTTTATAGCTCTACTGAAATATCTTCAGTCCTTACTGGCTAAGAATCATAAAACTTTCTCAGTTGATGTATTTTGGGTCTTATGAATTTAGAGGCTTCAAATACTAGGATAGATTGTACAATTCATCAGAAGAGCGATTCAAGGCCCAGCCTAAAGGGGGGGGGGGGGGAAGGTTAACCCATCAAAATTATTCAAAATTGTATATTTTTAATTGGACATCAAGCAAACTGTTAGCAAGATTTTAATAAGCATTGAGTCCTACTAAAATTATGAAATTCATATACCCCAGGATAGGTGGATCAGATGTAAAAGCACAGCTTGATTAATTAATCATAAACTGAAAATGCATTGATTGCTTGAAAATCTATATAATGCTCCTTAAATGAAAGCAAAAAGACTAAGTTCATGAAAATGAGGAATAAGTTTCATACCCCTGTAATCAAAGATTCTGGGGTACATCTATATAGCTTTTGCCCTGTCTGTCTGTCTGCAAAATCTTTTCACATTGGCCATATCATTTTAGTGGGTGAAAGTATATTTCACAGACCTGGGTATTCATTGTGACAATACTTTTGTACTGGTACACCAAATTAACCTTTTGAATTGAACTTGGAATATGACACCCTTTTAAGAAAGTTTCATAACTTGAATCTTGGCCTTAGCTTTTGAACAGTTGGTGCAAGGACTTTCATACTTTACTAGTATATTTACTGTGACAAGACCTTTCAATGGGTATAAATTAAAATATTTGACCTTGGACTTCTAGTTTGACCCACTGTTAAAAAATCTTTAACTTTGATCATAACTTTTGAGCTGATATAGTAAACGTATGAGTAATGTACGTGTACAACGTATGTATAACGGATGGTTAGCAATACGTATGTTTAACATACGTGAAACGCATGATATTCACACGTGTGAAAACATAGGTATAACGTACCTGGTGCTTTTTTCATGGAAAACGTACTTGAAGTCACGTAGGTGTCACATATGTTTAACGTACGTGAAACGTACGTCGCACAATTAGCTGTGTAGGCTACTGTTATCGGTTAAGAATAAAGTACAAAAAATATTTAATGGAAGTAATAATATTCCTAGTAGCGTGAATTTTTTTTTTTGGGAAACCCTTTGAAAAGAGCTTTCGTAGTGAAATTTTACATAACAAATCCCAATGGACTAAGGAAGAACAATATTGATTTTTAGGTCAACGCGTTAAGGTTATAGATTTAAATAATCATTTTTACACATTTGTTTCCTTGCGATCTCGTGAAAAGTCTATGTAACCTTCCTATGGCCAAAGGAAGGCCCCTATTGATGTTGAGGTCAAAGGGTACCAGATTAAGGTCGTTAATCCATATTTTTTGACTGTGCGTAAACCTTTTAACTCCGGACGAAATCTCATTAAGCTTTTGAGTTTTAGAGTTAATATCTATACCATAACTCCATTTGGTCCAGACAGCCCTCTATTTACTTTAGTACATACATTTTATAATTCTGCAAATCTGCGGAAGGGAGAAGTGGTGATTCAACACCCAATCTGAATTATCCTTGTCATATTTTCTTATAGCGGGATAAACAAATTCCCTGAATTATCTTGTTCGAGATATTTCTTGAAAGAATTTGATAGAGGTAAACAATATACATGTACAGTAAATATACTTTTGAATACATTATAAATTTGCATGCATGTAAGCTAATACAAGAAATTCTATAGTTGTTGTCATTTATTACATTTCTTGTATAGCAAATATTTTTTTAAAAAATTAGTTATTTTGGAATTTACTTAAGATATTTGATTTTCTTCACTTGTCTGTTTCTTTCCTGAACAACAAACAGATTGTCATTTGTATCTGTACACAGACCCCAGGGTTCACTCAGTCCACAGTCAATGTAACGTAGAAACTGTCCATCCTGGTCTATAATGTGGACACAGTCATTGTTACAATCATTTGTTAGGATGTGACTCTGACTGTCTGTGGTGATACCTTGTGGCCTGAATGGTTTGTTCTTTGGAGCAGGAGTATGTCCAGAGTACCTGAATCTCAGTTTCCCGGCCTGATTGACCACCACTCCTGCTTTAGCTCCACTGTCAGACACACAGATATCAAGGTTTCTGTTCTCACAGATATAATCACCAAATAAAAAAAGAGGTGTACCCATCTCATCAAACTGAATAGTTTGTTTCTCTGTGGAGCCAGAATAACGGACAACCTTGGATTGCTTGTTATTATCATGCATAGTAACCAGCAAGTCCCCTTGATAGGTTATACAAACACCGCTAAGTCTCCATTTCTTTAGTCTGATCACCTCCTCTATTTTCTCATTCTTCACTATGTTCACATTTCCATCACAATAAACTAGATCTCCACTTTTTGTCAGTGATATATCCCTTGGGCGTTTCCATGGCTTGGTTGTGATTGACTTGAGTAGTGATCCCTGATTAATGCTGTAGAGTCTCATGGTGCTGTCACCTCCACTTGTCCAGATTTTTTCATTATTCAGACAAACCACGCTGTGGTGTCCCGGATTTGTACGCGTATTATCGGACAAATCTATTTTTATGGTGGTGACAGTCTCTGGTTCATCAATCAGCTGTTTAACTGGAGGAGAGGATGCAGCATCTGGTGACTCTGATTTTGTCATGTTGAATTTATATTCATCCTCTTTTAAAACACCAGGCATAAAAGTATACAATTGATCTTCCTGTATTTTATTGGGAGAAAATTCAGGGACACCAAACACGATTTTCTTTGGAAGAGTTCTGTATCTATCCACTTGAGACAAAAAACTGAACACTTCAGAAATATTTGTTGAATTTAAAGTATCATTGGTTGAATTGATATCATCCTTGATGTCGGAGTTCTTCTGCTTTATTTCATCAAAATGTTTCTGGAGAGTTTTTAATTGTTCCTTTTTCATTTCTTCAGCTCTAGATTTAAGTTTATTGACCAGTTCAGTAATTTCTCTGTGCCAAATTTCTTCTTGTTTTGTTATGGCTGCCAGGAGATTTTCATATTCCTCTTGTAATAGATTTAATCTCTTTTCTACATCACTTGCAATGCCCTGGTAAGTTGGATAGATTGTTTCTGTTAATTTTGTACGCTCCTTATTAATCTTTTCTTTTCTTTTACTCAAGACTACCATAATTTTCACAAATTTATGACCCAAGTGTTGATCAGAAGCAATGCAAGTGTTACAGACAGGAATGTCACACTGCGTACAGTACACTTCACATGTTTCAACATCATGTGACGTGCATTTAGGGTAAATCAAAGTAGATTTCAACAATTTTATGAAATTTTGAGAGATCAGCTGAAAAATGAACTCCAACACAAGCTATACACAGGTTGACAAGACATGTATCACAGTGCATATGTACTAGAGCGGTCTCACACAGGTCACATCGCATCACGTCCTGGGCACTATTGGGGTCCATCATTAAATATTACTACTGAAACAACAAAATTTCAACATTAATATCAGAATATGTACGGGGGTTAACCTAAATATCAGAGAAACTCTAATACATGTATAATAACAATATTTATTCACTATTTGAATTTACATGATTTACATGATTTACATTCTTTGAAGTCTTGCTACAATAAACTATTATAAGATTATAAAATGTCAGTTAACGCAATTTTTATTTAATTAAAAAAAAAAACACTCGTCAACTTTCCTATTTATACAGTCTTATGAATAATGCAAACAAGTTATTGTAAAGAACAACTTAAATTTTTTCTCACCATGAGTTACCTCTCCTTGCCTCTGATCTAGTTATCTTAGCATAAGTAACTGAAACGCGTTATCATGCCAAAATAGTTTCAATAAAATGATATCTTGTTTCAGTTATTTTGTGTTATTTCTCCCTAACTTCACACTGAAAGTTTTTTTTACATATAATTCCTACTAAAAATCCAAAAAAAAAATTGTTCAAAGGTCTAGGGAAAATTTGGCACACTTTTTTATCTAATGATGAAAACTAGACCAAAACCATGTCAATAACACCTCCAAGAAGAAGTAAAATGCTATTCACATCAACTTCCTTGCTAATCTGTCATTGGTGTTAGCGCATTACATCTTGTATTACATATTAATGGAACCCCAAAATGCAATGCAACAGCCAATATGCATTGCATTTTGGGGTTCCATTATGTAAAACTCTTAAGAAATCAATGTCAGAGTGGGATATGAAATTAATGTATGATTTTCTTTAAATCCGTGTGTGTGAAATGACTTATTCAAGTTATATTTGTAATAAACTGTTTGCATAATGTCTCTGGTTGATATATCACTTGTATATAAATTAGATTATTTTATCCCCAGGGTGACTCGATCAGTAAAGTAGTGTTCTATGTATTGGAAATATTTGAGAAACATACCTCTAAAAAAGCAAAAATATTGTTGCCAAGATATTTAATTATTTATTTATCAAATTGAGTTAGCAATATTTTGGGGGAAATACATGTACAGTTATCTTCAGAAGCAGGTACAAAAATGGTGGATATAATATCGCTCTAGCTTACTGGGTAATTGCAGCCCGGAGGACCGGGCTGCTCTATACATATAAGTTTAAGTGTTGGTGTATGATGATTGGGTTGGGAGACGTTATTCAGAATTAAAGGTTTTCTAAACATTGAAAATATTGTTAATCAGAATGTTCTTTCCCTTTCTAAATTACGAGATACATAATATATTTACTTCTATAAAATGAATAAATATGTTTTACATGTTTAATATATAAAGTTGCTTATCATATACTATCGAACAAACGACAGATCCCTTTTTTTTGAATATCGAATTTTACTTCTCGCATAAAAACGCACTCTGCTTAGTTCCTGTTTTATATTCTAAAATTGAAAATTAATACATTTTTTCAATATAGGTGATACATGTGTCTAACTTCAATTTATATTTTATGCAGCCAACATTTACATGAGGAATTGATCGAGTTTAAAATGGTATCGTTTTTGTTTGATTTTTATCCGACTGTAAGTTTTCAAAATACTCGCGACTATCGTCGCCATCAATTAGACGCATGCCGTTTCACACATACCAAAGCGGTTTGATGATCAAGACTCATTTCCATTGCTTACTTTATATATTTCCCGGGCGACAATTGATGGTTACATCAATGTTTACTTGTTCAATGTTTGATTTAAGAATCAGTATGCCATTTTCTTTATCAAAACAATTAGTTAGCATGAATGATCTGTTTCATCATTAAATTAAGAATGATAATACTTTGTAACACTATCACGTTAACATCGCTGGTAGACAGGTTAACAAAATAGCAAATAAGCCTTATTGTAAGGTATAAAATGGGCTACTTTCGTTTCTGTTCAAAACATGGAATTCAATGTATATGAATTTGAAAATAAATAATCTGTTTGATTCATGAATCGCTTCTACTCGAGTATTTTCTAAAATATCAATTTGCTAAAGTTTTTATATAAAGAAACAAATACATGTACCTTGAATTATGACGAATTTTGTCGCAGGCTTCTTCGTTCTAATTTCTAGCCGAAGGGCGTGGGTCGCAAAACTTTTTTCTATACTTAATTAGAGTTGTCGTTCTTTTCCTGATGGAAGTGAATGGCGTCTCGCCCGTTTTTTGAAAAATGATATTTCTTTTAATTTTTTTCTGTCAACATTATTAAGCTTAATTAAGGTGCATAAGAAAAAAATACCTTTTAAAAGTTTTAAAGATGATAATTAAACAAACTGAAAGTTATGGTAGGCCTTTTTTTTAAATCGTACAACTTTAGGCATGTAAATGTATTGTCTGATATCCCTTGGCACCTAGCATACTGTACATGTAATTTTTCCTCGCAGCGGGTTAGGGGATATATGCATCGGTGAGAGGATTTGTGTTGTAAACAAATATTGTGATTCTGGTACAAATTGTTTTTATATGTTTTTAATTGCGGTGATTTGAAATGAAATTAAATGACTGCAATTAAAGACATTAAAAAACATTTTATATATTGTCTGCCGCAATTTAACAAAATAAATTATAGTAGAATTAATGGACTTATAAATCCAAAAAAATACGAGGTTGATCCAAAAGTAATGTCACAGTGTCCATATCTTTTGTATTTGGCGTCATATTATCAAATATTATATCCCAAAAGATGCACAAAATATAAATTTAATTAAACTTTAATTTTTCATTTAATTATGTTTAACTGAATTTATCTTATAGATGTTTAAAGCATATAAGATAAAATTTACATCATTTTCTAATCTTTAATTGAAAATTATATGACATCACTGCTATTTTTTATGAAAAACATCGTTGATTTATTCCGGTGCATTGAAAAAAGGAAATGTCAAAATGGACAAAAAGCCAAAACAAACTGTAATGCATTTTTGCATCAAAATGGAGAAATTGCCAGTAGAGACAGTTACTTTGATTCACCAGATTTTCGGAGGAAAGAATGTAAATAAATGACTTGTTTAGATGGTTTCAGCGATTTTCGGTGGGTGATGGGTCATTAAACGCTCAGCAGATGATAAGAAACCCGAAAGATGGGAGGGCTGACAGAAATGTTCAATGGTGTGTGGCGTTGACAAAAAGACAAACACATAGAGCGATATGTGAAATTTTAAGTTGGTCTTTTACTACTGTTCAATGATTTTTTGACAGAATAAATTATGAAAAGAGTGAGTGTACAATAGGTACTAAGGATAAGAAAGTGATATCAAATCTCAAATATTTTAATGAAACGAAGGTAAGCGTTTAAATGAATGACAGCGCGTATCCGTCATATGACGTTATTTAGCTGCGGCGACTACCAAAATAGCACGCTGTATATAATCCGATATTTTAAAAAGTATAAATCATGTTGAATTGAAATTTTAAAGTCTGATTTGAAATAAATGTAGCTTTCATCATTTATAATTTTGTTGTTTAACGTCGACGGATAGCGATTTTATCGAAGTTGTGACATTACTTTTGGATCAACCCTCGTACACATAGTCCAAGGAAGCATTTGGGGGTTTTTTTGGGGAGGGGGGGGGGCTGCAATTTCACTTAGTTTTTTGCTATTCATAAAAAAGCATTATGATTTATTAATAGTTGACTTAGACAGCAAATGTAAATGGCCAAATTTTCTTTATAAAAACAGATTATGGCAAATATTCATATAAATCTTTCTTATGTATAAGAAATTATTATTTTTATTTTTTTAATTATTTTTTCCAATTGTACACAATGAAAAAATTGTGAATACACATCTCTACATTTATAATATCACACTGTCTCTTACACCATCCACACTATTTCTGAATTACTAGCAAAGAAAAGTACTGTTACTCTCGTGACAATATTATTGCAGTTCTTTACATGATTCATTAATCTAGACTTTGTATCCTCAACTTCGTGGCATTTTTTAGGTTGTGGCAGGGAAACTCTTTTACTGCTTCGACATAGGAATCCAGGGCACCCCAAAGATCCCCTGGAGCTGTTGACAAATTCCTCAGATCTGCCAACACATGTCTCTAGTACAGGGACGAATCAAATCTCCCTCTGCAACTATATTCTTTAAATCATATATGGCCACTGCCGCGATTTGTTCATCGAATTGTCTGTAACATAAGAATTCTAGCATGAGTAACATTACAAATGGAGAAATATGTATTGTTCCCTCGATTTGAAAGCCTGATGTCTCCAACAACGGCTCTGTGCATCTTTGCAGAACAAGACTGTCCCCCGACTTCTGCTTTATATGTATCGTCACCGTCACTCATATACATCAAATATGGTTCCTGAAATTCGATATTTGCTATCTCTAGGATCTTTCTTGCTTTTATGTGTTTTAAAGTCTTGTAATAATACATCACAAGATACAATTTATCAGGAACAAACCCCAATTTTGCAGCAAGTTTCAACATATAACATGATATTTTGTCAGCTTTATACATTTTGTTATTCTTAATCATATTGAGATTTACTGAACATTTGATTGAAAACATGTTGGTTTTTTTTGATAAATAAGTTAGGACACTTACCTTCATACAAACAATTAAAAATCCTAGAAACACTCTAAAAGATTTTCAGGATACATGAATTCAATTTTGTTGAATCACCCAAAACAAATACTGCGGATTTCAAGTGATAAGAGAGAAAAAAAAGCTTT